GTCTTGAATAGAATTCATCAAACAAACGACAATTTTGATTTATAAATCACAAGCCATGCATGGCACAGTCCTGGTTAGTTATCAAATTCAAGATATATAGTTTTGTTTATAGTAATATAGCTGGAATATAACCATGTCAGGAATATGAATATGATGATTGTTTAACATTGAAATGATTGACATTTGTATCTGATCGTCAAACAAGTACTTGTCCATATTGAGAGATATTGCTCTGGAACAACATTCATAATCAGCCATTTCGAAAGCATGTACCGTATATATCAATAACATGATGTATAATAAATATATATAAAATGTCAGAGATATGGCCACCAGTCAGCCATTTTGAATCTGATCTGAAAAATTAAATGACATGCATCAGGAACCCGTAATGTCTAATGTATGTTATAAGTTGAACAAAATCCATCCATAAATGCCAGAAATGCTTAATATTTGATGATTTTTTAGCACAAAAATGGCCACCATTCGGCCATTTTGAATAGGATCGTCAAACCAATATATCTGTATACATGTATCTATGACATGATTTATAATGAATATCTAAAATTTGAATATAATCAGTCAAAACAAGTCAGAGATATGGGGCTAGAAGCCCATTCATTAAAACAAAATGGCTGCCAGTCAGCCATTTTGAAACCGATCTGAAAAATAAAATGATGTGCATCAGAAACCCATGTCTAATGTATCTACCAAGTTTGAACAAAATCCATCCATAAATGCCAGAAATGCTTGATAATTGATGATTTTTTAGCACAAAAATGGCCACCATTCGGCCATTTTAAATAGGATCGTCAGATTACTGCATATCATTTAGATACCTTTCCTTGATTAATTAACAGAACTCATTTACATGTATGAATATTAATGAGCTCGGTCACAGTGCAAATATTTTTAAATGGAATCAACACAAAAAAAAAAACTGACCCGCCATGATGTTTGTGAAACATTAGCACATGTGTCCCTTAACCCGATGGGTCAAGAATGCCATTAACCAATCAAAATAAAGTATGTTAATGCCGGCAGAATCCGAAGTTTTTCGAATGGTAGTGATCATAAAAATTACATTGCAGAAGTTAAGCGATGATGTAGCACGATGTGTTGGCATCAATTTCAGTTGAAAACTGCATGATGGTTCCCAAAATAGCAATTTTTAAAAGGTAAAATAGGTCTTGAAATAAGAGTTTTTACATGATTCGCGATGATAACAGTGTATTTTACCAAATTTCGCAATAAACTTGTTTTTTTCTCTTGAGTAGCGTAAACTGATCATGAACTCAACTTTGACCAGGTTAAATCGAGGTGGAATTGATTTTGAAAGAATTTTAGATTTCAAAATCTAAAGACTGTGTCTATCGCAGAAAGTATTTACTTACAAACAAAGAGGTGTTAATTTGACTAGCCGCTATGTATCATGTGACTAGGTCTATTGTTTACAAATTATAATCCACGACTGGCAGGATGTGTGTCAATCGGTACATAATAACAATAGGACAATAGTTCTAGTCGGAAACGTTGTGGTCACTAATTCTGAATGCCGGTCGGGCCAACCAGCGTGGTGAACTAACCTTTTGTACATCTGATATTGGCATGTCAAATATGAAATCAAGCGCAGAGGTGGGAACACATAGCGCCGAGGTCCCAAGTAAAGCGCAGAGATTCACAAGTATAGCGCTGCGAACCTTGGTGCTAAAAAGCCCTGGGGAGAACCCTGATCGTCAAACCAATACATCTGTATATCTATGACATGATGTATAATGAATATTTTAAATTTGAACATAATCAGTCAAAGCAAGTCAGAGATATGGCACGAGAACCACATTAATTAAAACAAAATGGCCACCAGTCGGCCATTTTGAATCTTCTCTGAAAAACAAATTATTTGCATCAAAGTTCCAAAATGTCTAATGTATATACCAAGTTTGAACAAAATCCAGCTGTAAACAGCCGAGAAATGCTTGATTTTGATGATTTTTTAGCACAAAAAAGGCCGCCATTCGGTCATCAGATCAGATCGTGAAACAAATAATATCATGTGTGAAGTTTGATTATGATTGGTCCAGGCATTTCTAAGATACAGATAAGTATTTTTACAACAAAAATCACCGCCAGTCAGCCATCTTTGATCCAATCAAGTTATCTTCTCATGTGCATACACTGTATGTATCAGACTACATGTAGGTTTATGCAAGGTTTGAAGAAAATTGGTCAAGACATGTCTGAGATACAGTTCTGGATGTTATTGTTATTTCGTGATTCATCAAAACAGAAAGGCTGCTAATAGCACCACCTACGCATGTAGTGCGCCATCACAGGTCACGTTCGAATCGCAGTAAAATGCTTGTTTATGATAGGCAGCCATGATGAAATCTACGAGCACATTTCTACGCAGCGTCTACTGCTTTAGAGACCCAACGATGTAAGTCTACAATCTTCTGAACGTTTATTTGAGACCTGTATGTTATATTGTGTTACTGGAAATGTGTGATATTTCTACAGTCATTCATGAAGTGAGATCGTTGCCTCGTAGATACAAATAGTTTCACAGTTAATTTCACAGCGTCTGTATTGCTTTTATGTTATAGAATTTTAATTTTAAATAAATCTGATCAAAACCGATACACTGAAGGGATAATTATTTGAGCGTGATTGACACTAGTATGGATATAATAGAGGCAGTTTGACCCCAGAACACTAACCCATATAAGTCCTTGGTTTCAGACTTCACCTGAATGGGGACTAATAATTACGTAAGGCAATGTATTGCATTTTATAACTAATATTTTATTGCAGTCAACCAATAGAAACTATTTCTAAGGATGAAATAAATTAATTATTGTATGAACTCACCCTTTGCAATAATCTGTATTCATACTCTTCAATGATTTGTCTAACTTCCTTGGTGGCTTCACCATTATATTCCACCAAAGAAGGTAATACATGAATGGCTATATACTGCTCACATATCTGCATGTACAAACAGAACGTGGATTAAACAGAGTCTGTAAATGGACTTTACTGTAGTGAAATGTTAAAATACATCAAGACTTAGTTTGAAATTTAGACATAAAAATTTCCTAAACATGTAAGTACATATACCATATTTGCTTTAGAAACACACTTCCAATGAAAGTACACATTACATTCACTGTATATATATGACTTTGTGAATACTGCCAGAGTAGCATTAATCCTTGCATGTGCCTCAGATTGATACAAAACTCTGGCAGTAATCACATATCATGGGATTATACATGTATAGTATATAAACATTATACAATACTGCTATATTGAAAAAAAAAGTTGAAACACAAAGTTATAGATGCACATAAAAATATCACCCCTAAAAATGTAGCTCATCGTTTTATGGCAACATTTTTTTTATTTGGTGAAACAGTCAATAGAATGCACCACTTATCCAACCTTTTATTTTATTACATGTACACATTGAAACAGTCAATATGATAGGACTATATATTTTACATAATATCTGATATTATTACAGAGCTTCACATCCAAACATGATACATTCAATATGCCATTGACTAAAAGGTTGTTTGAAAACGAGTTCCTGTTATCATTTCAACCAAAGGTGTTAATTTCGTAAGCTAACATCATGCATTATGCTATTACCCGATTTGAAGGACTTATTGAATCATATTCAATGCTCACATGAAAAACATTACAAAACATGGACACGCATACCTTTTTTAACGCAATGTTGTCGGTCAACAATCATTTCATTACGACGATATAGTTCAGTGAACATTTTTTGCGAGATCTTTCAATTTAATTATTTTGAGACACATTTGTACTTTGACGAGAACGTCATATATTGAATTTGATAAGCATTCGCATATTCAAAGCATATTGTCGGGGCATTATTTGTTGACAAGCCCCTCAAATGAACCCTATTATTATCATGACCACCCAGGCCTGTCACATTCATTAATAAACTAATCTAGGTCAGTACCCACAGCTTGGTTCATCTTGCCATCGACAATGGGGTGAAAATCATCCATTTTCCCTTCTCGTAACATTTCACATTGAACAAACAACTCAGGATTAACACCTTGCATTTGCATAAAACCATGACTTATAGTCATTTTGAGTAGTCAAAACAACTGTCTGAGACATGCTTTCCCATAGCTTTTACGCAGAAATCACCTGACATCGCTCCAAACTTGTAAATTAACATCGAAATTGTATCGCGGATATATTCATGTTTGTGTACGACATGAAAATAACGCATCACAGTTGTTAAGATTTTCAAAAGGAGTGATTTTTGCGGAGCACCCCGAAGCAATGTTTCACGCTTGAGTGTCATTAGCATACTGAAAAACTGGCGGCCATCTTTCCTTTTATATATCCAGACCCGCAG